CTGCAGTAATGCTATACATATTGGAACGAAACTAATTTGCAGTTAAAATATTAGCAAAATAATAATAGTAAATAATAGTTCATGTAAAGACATGAAATAATAGTTTCATTACATTTAAATCTTTGATCGTTATTGTACATAAAATTCCAGTTGCATGTAAACTTTTTTGTTTGAACTTTTAAAACAGACGAGTATGCCTAAATATGATGTTATTTATTCCATCTTCAAAAAAAAAAAATTATTCTACCATCTTAAGCCTTGTAGGCCTACTCACTGCGTCGTACGACAGAAACCCCGCTCCCTGACGCAATGCGACAGGGAGATGTAACAACAGATAATGAAGAATACACAGGAAATACAGAATGAGGGCGCTATTAATGCAGATATTTGTCATATAACAGTGTATAGTAAGCCAATTTGGAACCTGGTATAGTAAAAAAAAATCGACAATGTAACATAATCTTAAATGAATAAAGTATGCCGTGTTTAATGAGTTTTAAGCACAATAAGACTACAAACTACAATCAAACATGTTGATCAATCAATCAATCAAACAGTCAATCAATTTATCTATTGATTTCTTTTTTAAATTCCGGAGAAGATGAGTAGGCCTATATATGACTCTATTACAATAACAGCATAATGTTCATAAAAGTGTCCACACTATCTACATTACAATAATTATATTATTTACAGTAATCTAATTCTACAGCCTTCAGTTAAGTGTAATTTAACACCTAACGAGTTGCAAGTATACTACACTCTATAAAATATATTATATTATGTTGAACAAAACTATAATTACTTAACATTTGTCAGCCAAATGTGATGTACATAATAGCCAATTATGGTTAACAGTGTAGTAGGCCTTTACATTGTTTATTGATGATAATAATAAGTATTGTGTGTAGGCCTACATTAAAATTATGAATTACGTTTGTCAACTCTATTCAAAATAAGTATTTGGCTAAATCGTAAAAGAAAACGACATTGTCTTAGAAACAAAAACCATAAAACTATAAGAGCACACCACAGTGTCAATTATATTTTGTATGGATATTATTTTGTTAATCGTATTTGTATTTGTATTTCAAAAATCCAACACTGTAAACACCAATAACAAGATGAACATAAATATATAAGAACATAAATTTTAAAATAGCAGAACATTACACAATAATTATCAAAAGTCTTAAAGATTAACTTCAAAGTCTATATAGATATTTAGACATAACATTGTTTACCAATTAAACTAACTACTTCGTGTACAATACGCTTCAAATTTGAAAAATTTCAATTAAAAATAATCCGATTCAGGTTTAATTTCACTGTAAATGTTGAACAACACAATTCAGTTGCAATGTGTTATTGTGTGATCATAAAGATTATTGATCCCAATCAAGTTTAGAAAAAAATGTAATTCTACTGGAGTAGAACATTAATAGAATGTGTTGATAATGATGTTGATTCCATTAGATTTGTTTAGTCATCTAGGGGCGATATTCGAGGAAAAAATTCACTTCTCGGGGCATTTATGGGGTGGGGATGCACATTTATTCAAAGCAGGGCGTTTATTCGAATAAATACGGTATTTAAAAACAAATTTATTATTAACTTTTCTTTTACTGCCTGGAGGGTTGGCGTTAACCTACTATGCCTAGTATTTCCATATTATCATTTTGCATATTAAAGCATTCTCTCAAGGTTTTCTCGCTCTTTAGGGAGCGTTTTAATAATACCCTATGGCAAATTCAAACAGTTTGATCAATTCAAAATTAATTAGCTTATAATACAAAAAATAATTTCCGAGAATAATCTTCTGCCTCTCCCACCACCGTCAGGAAGTTAAAAAAAAAAAACCACAAACACACAAAAAGTATTTTCTCTCCCTGCATGGTCTTCAGATTTTTTTTTCTTTTTCTTCAAACATTTGACATTTCAAGTGCAACGTCTTACCTTAATCAACAACAACATCAAATAATGTGTGCCATTTGAGATCATTAGATACCAGTACTTCAAATTACGTTAAAGATTCAACCCTCCACCCCCCCCCCCAAAAAAATGTACACTAATTATTTTAATCTAGTTCTTTTAATAATTGCTCTATTTATGTGAATATTATTTAATTACAGCGAACTATCCAGAAGAAACTGCTAATTTAAATGTAATGTGGGCGGACGCTGCATTGCAAAATAAATTATTAAATTTCTCTGTAAAACGTTTGAAATAAAGATTTTAGGCCTATTATCAAATTGCGATTTGTTTGATAAGGAATTAGGTCTGAAACAGCCGTTTGGAGGGCAATACATGAAACCGTTTGTGTCGAAATAATTTTTATTAGAAAGCAACTGCAACAACTATATTGTCACTGATGCAGCGGTTTATTTGTTAAATTATATACAGCATATAGTATATAATATAAATCCAGATAGCCGTCAAACACTGTTAAATTATATATCAATATTCAAAGAAAGGTAAATACAGAGTTCGAATAGCGGACATGACACCACATCGTGTAGTTGTGAAATTAAATGCCTTTCACGGGATTCGACCTGCGACCTCTCGCTGTCAAGGCGAGTGTCATAACCATTAGTCCACAGAGGCTTCATGGCTGAATAGATTCAAAAGACCGTCAAGTACATTCTATTACATTTACACAATAAGTACTGCTAGAAATAAATAGCAACAAATAATATAAATCAAGATAGCCGTTACACCGTTAAATATAAATCTTCCAAAAAGGTAAATACAGTGTTCAAATAAAGGACATAAAGACCTCAACGAATGTCAAGCTTCCTATAAATAAATACATTGTATAATAAAATGCCTCTGACGTGATTCGAAGTATATACATATATAATTTCATTTACTAATTTAATTTGGTGTTTCAATGTGTTCCATATGTGTTTTATCCAATATATATATATATATATATATCAATCATGTTCTATCATGTCCTTATTAAACACTGTATATGTACCTTTGATGATTTATATTATATTTATTAATGCGTGCCCACCTATGTTTCAAACCATGAATATAATATAGCGTAACAGTAATGGAACTCAAATACGTAAGATGTTGACTTATGTATGTAATGTATGTATGTGTGCGGGGGGGGGGGTTGTGTGTTTGTTCATGTTCAAACATTAACAGTTGGATTGCCCTCTTCATTAATACCTAGCCTAGCCTTACCGACTCTATTGTATTCATTACGTTCTGCGTACTCAAATACAACATACCAAATACGGCGCTGTTTTGCTTCTTGTCTTGTGGCATATTCTTGTGTTGTGAAAGCAATTGATATCAACTTTGGAAAGGCTCCCAGTGCCAAAGTTAGCATTGACTTTGTTACCTGTGTGAATTCATTATACTCGTGAGTCGAGATGATTGTATAGAGTGCTACTGCAAAGAATAAGCCTACAACCACATTCCACGACACAATCTTCGCCACCTGAACGCTCCTCTTTTTACAGTTGTTGACAACGTGAAATAAAAGGTCTTCCGGTAAATTAGGAATCAATTCTGTGTAGATGACTAGTGGATTTTGCAACGGGATATCTGTTCTCATCCTAAGTAAAGTGTTTCTTTGCAAATTCGGATCGCGGTTAACCTCATTAAAATCTTCACCATCATGACCGGCTTGCCATGACTCTCCGGCATCAACTATGGTGCGCCAAACGTTTGCGTAACAATCGTAATATTTCTGAAAACCGTCAATAACGTACATACCAAATAATAATGCTGTAATAACCTGTAACACGATTACTTCATTCTCGCCGTAGTTAGTAACTATACCTATAGTTGTCAGGACGATTATTTGCATCATGATAATTACAATGATCACCAACTGTAAACAAAGGGTTCCGACAAAAATTGTAAACAAAATGGCGAGAAAGAGTTTAACCAGCAATAAAATACACTCTTTATATAGTTTTCGTTCTGCAGAATTGGTGTAAAAATTTAATATGGATTTGATGAAAGAAGTTGCTGGAGCTGAGATTAAGAACACTGCTGGAAACGCACAACTTAACCATCGACCAAATGTAATGATAACATCTATGATTAATAATAATAGGCGACAGATTATGGACCTGTTTCGCGACGTGCTACTAAATTGCCTCTCATTCCACAATCGACAACTAGTAACAAGAGTCAATCGATTAAGTGCTTGGCGATACATACACGTGTATTGGTTGTTTTCGAAGTCTAAACCACAGTCAGATTCGTCGTTAAAAACAGACAGCGATTGTGGGAAAAAAACCACAATGAAGAGCGATAAAATTTGCAATACGCGTAGCATAAGACGATAAGTGATAACATAGTGTAGGCTTACGTTTTCATGGTAATACACATTCAAATAATTTTTTGTTGATTTGTCATCGCCAAATATTTCAAGTAGTATTAATGCACTTATAACCAGTGTAAGAAAAATAAAAATTCGAATACTTCGAATGATTCTATTTGCGTTTCCCCAATGAAAGAGTGTGTATCTTGTGCCAAGCGGTAGTGGTGAATTTAAAGCCAATCTTGGTACATGTTCCTCTACTTCCTGCCTCAAAATGGCTTCATTGCTAACGTAAGCAGGCCTACTAGTAATAATATCGGAGGGTTTACGATGGGGGTTCATCAAAAACACACCAATTAGCAAGGGGCTAAATAGCATCACAAACAAACTTATTGCAGTAATAACCTCATTCCAAATGAAGTTATTGATCTTTACTTTGCAAATCTTAGGCCTATCTAACAATGTAAAGCATGAATAGTGACTTCCTTGCATAGCGTAGTAAAAATAGCTGTAAGCTAGGTTAAGAAGGTGGTTATTGAATAATGTAAGATTTAAATGTCGGAAACAAATTCGATCGTGTTCACTTACATTTCTTATTAGCGTTTGCATTGCCAACATAACTTCCTTGTAATCATTGAAACAATCGCGAATGGTTGCATTTGTAAACGTGATATCTACATTTGTTTCCTCGAATATTAATGTTCCCAATGACAAGTATTCATAATTGACTGGATACGACACGATTTTTGCCCCTACTCTATCGTTGACCCATACGAATGTAGATAGATCAACCTCACCAGGAGAACGACTAGTCAGCATTTTCTCCAGTATTAATCTTGTGTTAAATTTGACTACAGAGATATGAGACTGCCTTGCATTGTTAACTAATTGATCGCTGGATATAAGTCTCCCGTCAGTTGTGTGTATTACTAGATTTCGATTGCAAGTTATGTTGGTGGAAATCGGAAAACATAACTGCTCTGTATGGATTTCATCAGCCATGTTGCTGAAAGGTGCACAAATGCTGTTGGTACAGAACATCATAAGTACAATAGTGAGTGACCAGCAGTGTGACTCCATTGTAAACACTATTTCTATATGCCTAATTTCAAGCTTAAACGTTGTATCGATAACTCATGCACACTGAGTATTGCAGTATGTAAAATAATTGTCCATACCTGTTAGATTAGACTATAAAGGTAAGTATCACGAGTTGTGCTTAAAATAACTTAGGTAATTTTACGTAGGCCTTAGGCCTATTTATAAATAGTTGGAATTTCCGACAATATGTACCTTCCGTGTTTAGCCTTAAAGTACTAAGCCTATATTGCCTATAGGCCGGCCTTTTGTGTGAATAAATGTAAACATTTGATTTATTATGAATTATGATATTTGGTATAAGGTTATAAAAATAAATCAATTAAAATAATGAAAATTTCGGATTCCTGAGAAGAGAAAATGTCTTTGGACGACCCATATGGAGATCTTTATGGGTACCATATGTGCAATCCTTGAGGAAACCTCCGGATTCTGCACCCAAGTTCCATGTGGGACCCATATGATTTAGCCCACATAGCCCAGATATAACCCATTTGGGGCCCACATGGAACCCACATTAATTTGTATGTGGGTGGCATATAGGTTTCCCATATGGGACCTATATTTTCTGACCCATATGGGTACCATATGTGCTATCCTTGAGAAAACCTCCAGATTCTGCACCCAAGATCCATGTGGGCCCATCTGATTTAGCCCATAGCCCAGATATAACCCATTTGGGGACCATATGGAATCCACGTGCATTTTTACAGGGGTTTGCCATATGGGACCTATATTTCCCGACCCATATGGGTACCATATTGGCTATCCTTGAGGAAACCTCCAGATTCTGCACCCAAGCCCCATGTGGGGCCCATGTGGTTTAACCCATAGCCCAGGTATATCCCATTTGCGGACCATATGGAACCTATATTTCCCAACCCATGGGTATGGTATGGACTAGCCCTTAAGGCACCCTCCAGATTCTGCACCTAAGCCCCATGTGGGGCCCATATCTTTCAGAGAACCCATATGGGGCCAACATGGTACCCTTATGCATTTGTACATGGGTGGCATATGGGATTCTCACATGGTACCCATATGCAATTGCACATGGGTGGTATATGGGGCCCTTTATTTTCTGGCCCATATGGATGTAATATGGGTTTGCCCATATGGGGCCCCTCGTATTCTCCACCAAAGCCCCATGTGGTACCCATTGCAACTGCAAATGGGTGGTATATACGTGTCCCATATGCGAGGCCCATATTTTCTTGCTCGTATGGATGGCATATTGGTTTGCCCATATGGGAGCCTGTGTGGTTTAGCTGACATGGCCCAGAGAGAACAAATATGAAGGCCACACAATTCTGACTTAGCTTCTAACTCTGGTTTCAATATTGGCTGAGTCGATGACCACGAGCTAGGTGTACATTTCAACAAATTACTGTACTCCTTTTCTGAAAACTTTTCAATTGCACGTAGAGTACAAAGTATTTTTACTCCAATGATTAAACAAAACGGTTATTTCATTTTAACACATCAATCATTTTATTTATTTTGTAGAAAAAAACAATATTTTCAATTGCAAATACAAAATACTGTAGTGGTAAATGAAATCAAAATTTCTTAATGTCCCTAATAACTTTACAATTCAATTTCTCCAGCTCCTTGGAAAGTAAGAGTATTCCATCATTTTGATCGCATTGGGAATATCACATATTTAACATTTTTACAGATTATGAATATCCTCAAATTGATAGGGTCCATGTATCAATAAGAATCGTCAATAGTTTCACCATGAATCGTAGTAACAGACAGTACGAATGCCTTTTTCACAAAGGTTAGTAAGAAGGTATTCAATCGCCTCCTTTTTTTTCACATCTAGTTGCATCCTCGCATTTCAGAATTCTGCAAACTGGCCCTGAGAAAAAAGAAAGAAAAAGACCTAAAAATAATAGCTTTTAAGATTTACTCACTTTAGATTTAACAAATAAAAAAAAGGCATGCAACACAAATAAAATTTTGAAAATTAGTGTTTTCATTGACTTTGGTTTTTGTGCAAATTTTCTATAGGTTTGAACTATTGATATAGGTGACATGTCTCCTAACCCCTTTGGGATTACGCACAATCATCACAGCATATTTATGACAAATTATTACATTTTTATGCATTAGAAGTGTGAAGTGAATGTGAATAAGAAGATCTAATTTTAATTACGATGAAGTATTTTTACTGGGCTTCAACGTTCAATTTACCCAGTATCGCATCACAAAATGTGGCAGGTTTTACGCTAATTGCGAAGCACTTCCACAATTGCATCACAGATAAATGCAGCGCAATTATTTGCCTAGAATTAACCACACAATTTTCAGCAAGGCCTTGTAATGTTGTTCTTATTGTTATGTCATAGTGATAATTCACAGTACTGGAATGATGTACGAATCTATCGGGCTTGTTGAACAACGTAACATTTAATGCAATATGGTTAACCACAAATCCTTGTCTAGGCATTACAAGGCGAGCGTAGCAACACTCGTATGAAGCGCCATAGGCGTATCATCACAGCCTCCTCTTTAGTAATTAACTCATAACATAACAAAATACATTTATTATTGACACTGAATTGGTAACAGTCAGTGTACGTTTTATTTATTTATTTATTTAAATCATTGATTACTAGTTGATGAGTACTTTTTAGTTCCTATGCATGTAATGCAATAGGAACTATTGTAATCACTCTTGCTATTTCCTATGTTTTTTATTGTGTGTAGTGTGTATGTGTGTGTGTAGACATTTATGCAAATGCGCATGCGTCAAAGAAAAGTTTTCCGACATTTTGTTTTACATCGCGTGTGTACGTGTGTGTGTAGACATTTATGCAAATGCGCATGCGTCAAAGAAAAGTTTTCCGACATTTTGTTTTACATCGCGATGCGAAGATCGATGTGAAGTTTCTGCAGAGTTCAGTCAGGGCT